GCATACAAGTGTAAATACTGAATAGTTTCTCTGGTGTGAGAAACTGAAAGTGTAAATAAGGATCAAAAGATGTAATGGATAATGTGAAATAGGAAGAAAAGGTCCAAAGGGGAAATGGTAGGGGTAGGAAAGAAGGAAAAGGAATAAATATGAGAAAAGGGAAAAATGGAAAGAAGTCTTTGTAAATAGGGATGGGTAGAGGAATTGAAGGGAGGGCAGGGCAGTGGGGGAAAAAAATAAGAACCAAAATATATTATGTAAAGGTACGAATTCCCAGTGATGAATGTCATCATATTGTATACCTAAAATGTACCAATAAAATTAATAAATTTTTAAAAAATAAGTCACATAACCTCAAGGTACAAGGGGGAAAGGGTAAGCATTTTTATTCCAAAAGGAAAGAATGAGGGACAGAAAAGAATAAGACCAGAACCCTGCAGGGTAAACATTAAATCCTGTAGCTCTGTGTCTAGCAGAAGGTGATAAAATGTGAGTTCCAAAGGGCTTGGGCATCCTCACTCCTGTGCCCTTCATGGTTGCACCCTATATATGGCTTTTCTCTTGGGCTGATTCCACTCATAGCCTACAGCTTTCCTCAGCAAATGTTCCACATTCCTGGCATCTTCAACTTCCTGGGTTCTCTACTGCACCTTTGGCTTCATTCCCACAGTTTCACACATTGCCCTCTGAAGTGCTCCTTATCCAACCTTCTTGGCCTTCCTTGAAATTTTAATGATAGCCAACCTCACAGCTCTTACATTTTACATGCTTTTAAGGCCAGCATCACAGGAACAAGGCCAGTGCCTGATGTTAGCAGAAGCATAGCTGTAGTAGTCTCTGAATGCATGGATGGCTGGTTATGTGAAATGAATCCCAGGGCACCAGTTCCCTGGAAGGCCATTTGTAAGTAGAGGTCTCAGTGCTTCTCTTCTCAAATTAAAATTTACACTTACGCACTCTTGAAGCTGCAAAATATTCTTGCTGTTTTTTGAGATGCCCTCATGTTTCTCATTGTCTCTGTACAAAGTAATTGGTTTCTACTTAATGGTTCTAATTTCTCCAGCAGCCATTCTTCCTTTGGCCCCAATTTTACATGTAGTTCCTTTGGAGCCAGAATTTAAGTTTTTCATTTTTTCCCCTTAATTTGTGCCTCCCAGTACCTTTGCCACAACGTGAGCATTGGGCCATCTTGAAGTGTTTCATCACATTTAATCTCATTCTCCTGAAAAATATCAGGACATAAATATAGACAAAGTTTATGCCAAAATGTAACATACATATCTCTAGTCCAATTGTCAATGGAGCCCTGTATAGTCACATCAGCAACACTCCTCCCTGACCGATTTAATATATTATTTAGCTTTGCTATTGCCAGAATGCTATACCCAAAACCCATAAATTAAAGCAGAGGTTTAATTTGGCTTATGGTTTCAGATAATTTACTATATGGTTGCCTAGCTCCAAGGCAGGAACATACTGGTGGAAGAGTATGGTAGACCTGCTTTAGTTTATGGCAGCCAGGAAGCAGAACTGGGAGCAGCACCAAAGAGGAAGCGGCAAGGGACCAGATACATATGAAACATCATGCCTCAGTGACTTACTTAGACATATTAAGAATTGTGCCCTACTAATCCCCTGGGTGGCTCCAAAGTCAGTCAAGTTGACACAATCAAGCTTAACTGTCACTGTGATAACATTAGTCTAGGAGTTTTGCTTATCTTTTCATGATTATTTTTTGAAGATAAGTGTTAGACAATCATAGATTATAAAATCTATTTGATGGAGCCACCTAGATACACAGGAAAAAATATCCACATACAAAGTGAAGGTTAATGTTTGGACTTCTAGGGTTTATGGGCTTTAACTTCAACTAGATTAACTTTTATTTTTTCATGAAAAGCTTAATGTTCATTGACTTCTAAAAGAAAGGCAGCTATATTATGCCTCCAGCTAAACACAAATGCAGTATAAAGCTGCTAAAGTCCCAAATAATTTTGATTGCCTATTAATCTAGTCTTTATGATGAGGATATGCTGTTCTTCTCAATGTGACATCCCACAATATGTTGGAACCAGCTAAATTTCTTCTTTCTCTTATAACAAATTATTTTGTTAACAGATTGGTAAGTGTAGAATTGGAGGAATATTGACATTTTGGTGTTATATGTGGTACAACAAAGGATTATCTTGACAAGTTCATTTTTTAACTTCTTTTATCAGTACAAAAAAATTAAAAGATATTAAATTATAGTTCTGCATAGCTACTAGAAGCAATTTGGCCTAACCAAATTTCTTATGATTTTTGATAGGACTACAAAAGATATAATTAAACATCCCACAAGCCATTCTCTTTACTTGGCAAGTACCCTTCTTTTCTCTTGAGATTAGGCAGTGCCATTTCTACCTTGTAGGAATCAAAGTTTCTTTTCTAAGCAGACTGGTCAAATTAGATAGAGTGAAAGGGAGAAATAATGGCCTTTCTTACATTACTGACATGGATTATATATTACAGAAAAGCCAAAGTAACTTTTTTATGGACAGATCTGGAAACTATGCTATTTGGGCAGATTTTATATACTTTCCAATAGTAATTGTGTGTGTGGGAGGGTTGTTTTTAAGCATTTCCCTTTAACAGAACAAGAAAGGACACATTCTAAATGTTGCGTAGAATGTTTGCTCATAGAAAAAAAAATTCCATTATTTTTAAGTTTTCATTTGGACTTTGAAATATTTTGTATGCAAAAATAATGCTGCACTGTTTTTTGAATTTATTAGCACCTCACCATCAAATGCATTAAATCAGTTTGAGATTCCTTTTGGATTAAGAACAAATAAGTCAATATATCCAGTCAAAGTAATGGTAGTGAGCTAGTAATCATTCTAAATTCCATTTTAACATAAGAAATATGACCTTTCTTCCATTAGGGCCATTTATCTTATTATCAGTGGTCACATGTCTTTATTCTAGTTTTCTAATCCAAAATGGACACTTGCTCACTTAAAATATCTTTCAGTCTTGAAGCTTGTGTGTGGCATTTTGTGGTGGCAACCACATATACACACAAAGGGGATGAAAATAAATTGCACAAACTGTCTGAAAATTCCCAAAATGATCTTTTTATCAGTATATCTCTAAATATAGAGAAGACCATGCTTAAGAAAGGAAAGAAAATGAAATAGGAATACGTTACTTGAAGTGATGGGGGGGTGTGATCATAAAGCCATAACTAGATGGTTTTATCATTAATGTACAGAGTGTATGTACATTTAAAGGAATAGTGCCAGGGACTTAGCTCAGTGGCTCTGCTGCTTTCCTCGAAAGCGCAAGGACCCGAGTTCCATCCCTGGTACCAAAATAAAAAAGGAATATTAATTTTAGTATTTGTGCTGCTGAAGCGAGCACAAGGAATATTAATTTTAAAGACTACACTTTGCAGTTATTTTTAAAATTTTTAAACTTTGCACAGTGAGTATGCATTGTAGATCAGAAATAAAATAGAATTTTTGTGTGAGAGATTGATATTTGTGAAGAACTACCTAGATTCCCTCACTCTTTAAACCTTCTGCTTGATTGAGACTGGCTGTAATGTCATTGCCTATCATATTTAGGAAATTCCACTGCAGAACTGATACCCTGAGCCTGCTGATTAGGGGTCTCAGAGCATCCAAGAACCTTCCACAGCAGCAGTTTAGTGTGTTATCCTTAGCAGCAGTTTAGTGTGTTATCCTTAGAAGTATGTATGGTTTTCTTAGATTTACAGTTATAATAATTGATTCACTTTTCTCTAGTTTGTTTATCCAGGTCCAATTTCTATATTTGAAGATATTCTATGGGCTAAGCTCTGATCTTATAAAGATTCCGTGGGGTCCATGAAGTAATTAGTTTTGCTGTTAAAAGTAATACTAGGCCTTGTTTCTTTTGACTGGAACACTATTGAGCTCCTTATCTGGTGAGTCCGAGGTGTCCTTTTGAAAAAAAAAAGTCAGCCTAGTGACCTGCAGACAGGTGCAGACCTTGTCTCTCGAGCTCTGGGAACCCCGAAATGGCCAACATCCTGGCAGTGCTGTGCAGCCACCAACAGCTGCTGTGCATCAAGCACACAGTGCTCTGGTTCTTCAGTAAGCTATGATGTAAGAACCTGACCCAACTCTTCCTCAACACTGACTGTGACACTGCTACAGACCTAGCCAGACGATAGTCCCAAAAGCTGTCAAGTGAAATTCTGGAGCAGAAATCATTAGTGTACTCCCAAAGGACGTTCAAGGAGTAGTTACTCATCTAGGTTAAAGGAAACAGAAAAATAGAAATTTAGAACAGGTGTGTTATTTAAGGAAAACAACTAGTGTGACAAGTGAGAGAATTTCAGTCTTTGGCTGTGAGTCAGGTGCTTAGAGTTATATAAGGATTTATCAGTCACTGTTTTAAAAAAATGTCAAATATCTTCTGTGAAATGAGTGAAGAGAACTAACCAGGATGAGGCAGATTTACTAATGAAGTCTATCATCACAACTCTTGGCCAAGAAAAACATGCACCTTCTTCAGGGCCAGAATTTTTCTTCCATTCCAGGAATTGGAAGAACACACAAAGTATATGTAGTATAGGCTTTCAGGTGAGCGATTTTCACTAGCATTTTTTTTTTCCTTTTTACTCAAAAAAGTGAAAAGAGAAATTGGGAGATATCAAGTTGTTCTGTATCAGGAATAGTGTCTGTAAGGATAATCTGGTCCTGTCCTCACTCTCCAACTGGAAGTATAGGATGCTTAATCTAGTAGTGTTACACTAAGCCCGCATGACCTCCCTATCTCCCAGAGTGGCAGTTAGGTGTGACAGCATACATGTGCAACAGAATTCCAGCTATTTCTCATTAAACCCTGAAGGTGTCAGTAGTGACTAGAGAGCTTCAGCCTTTGCTCAGTTTTCTTTGAGTGGGGAGGAATAAAGGATATATACATTTCTCATTTCAGATTGACCTTGACTTTCCATATTTTTTTCACCTCAGATCATCCAGCCCCTCTTAGAACTTGACCAAAATAGAAGCAAGTTAAAGTTGTATATTGGACACCTGATAGCCCTCTGCCATGACCGAGACCCCCTCATCCTTCGTGGACTCACTCCACCAGCTTCCTACAACTTGGATGATGACCAGGCAGCTTGGGAGAATGAGCTGCAGAAGATGACCCAGGAACAGGTCAGCTTCTCACTTGAGCTTTGACAAGAACTAGCAAAGGCAGCTGCTGTTGGGTTTATACTGGGAGTACAGTTTCAAATTCAATATTCTTTTCAAGGAAAGAGAAAGTTCCAGACAGCTTTTTTTGTTTTGTTTTGTTTTGGTTTGGTTTGGTTTTTTTGGTTTTTTGAGACAGGGTCTCACTATGGAGTTGATACTGACCTGGAACTCACTATGTAGCCCAGGCTGGTGTCGAACTCACAGTGATCCTCCTGCCTCAGCCTCCCGAATGCTGGGATTACAGGCATGGGCCACCACACCCAGCCAGATAGCATTTTTAAATTGATTTATACTTTAATTTTTTTCAATGCTGGGGGCTGAACATAGCCTTGCACATGCTAAGCAAACTCACCTCTAAGCTATACCCCCAATATTTATTTTTGCTTCATTGAAAAATATATTTATCATATACAATAAGTTGTCTTGAAATATGTGTAAAATTGTTAAATGGATCTTTTATATACATTCCTTAACACACTTTTTGTGACGAGAACACTTAAAATATGCTCTCCTAACAATTTTCATGAATATAACACATTGTTATTAACAATAGCATGTTGTATAATAAATCTCTTGAATGTATTCTTCCTACTTAATGGAAATTTTAATCTTTTTACTGACCTCTTCCCAGCCACTACCACCACCACCACCCTTGGTAACCACCATTCTCTTCGTAGAATCAAGCATATTAGCCATCAGAAGACTTCAGCAGATACTCCATATAACCTTTTGAAGGAAGTGCCACTTCATTCTTCTCTCAGTAAACTATTCATATATCACAAAGATCTGGTTTAGAAAGGAAAAAGGTATAATCTTCTAACTCATAGGAATTAACTTCTATGAGGTTATCTCATAGAAGTGCAGGCCACTGAAGAAAGGTTATTTGAATAAGGGATTTTTGACAATTCGGTAGCATGGATCTTCACTTGTCTTTGGAGAATTGTGGATTACAGCAGTTAAGATTTTGAGCCGGGGATTTAGCTCAGCGGTTCAGTGGCCTGCCTTGCAAGCACAAGGACCCAAGTTCAATCCCCGGTACCAAAAAAAAAAAAAAGATTTTGAGTAAAATACTGCTAAATTAGTTTATGTCAACCCTTGTCTTAGTATATTCACATTACTATGACAGCGTACTGTAGGCCGGGTCACTTAATAAACAACAGAAATTTATTATCACAGAACTGGAGACTATAAATCCCATATAGCGATTAAATTTTGAGGTAACACTTATTTATGTCTGGAAATAATCATTCCTCTGTTTCTGTCAGGCCATGAACATTAGGGGTTGAGTCACATAAGTCACAAATTGAGCTGGGTTTGGGTTCATTCTTGCTATACTTTAATGCATCATCTGCTCAGAAGATTTAGATTTTCTACTGCCATGTGAGCCTTTTTAAATTGATTTATTTTTGACTGATATATAAGACCATAAAAATTATACATACTAATGTGGTACCATGTGATGTTTTAATACAGGTACACACTGTGTAATGTTTAAATAAACTTAAATATATCGGTCTCCTCAAATAACTATCATTTCATTATGGTGAAAACATTCAAAATCCTTTCTTCTAGCATTTGAAACATGCAGTACATATGCCTAATGTGTTTTAGAATGCCAGTTTTTCTTTCTCCTGTTTCCTCCCAGCTTTCAGCCGCCCTGGCAGACTACTTCATAGAGGTCTCTCTCTTTGTACTCCTGCCTCTCCAGGCACTCAGTGCATGACTCATGCTGGGAGCAGAAAGAGCCTCTTCATACCTGACTCCAGCCTCAGCCTGAGTGTTCCTGGCTGACAACATCTTCACTTTGTAGTGCAGGTTTAGACTGAAGGCTGATTTTCCGAGACTTCTATTTTGAATTAGTCTGCAATGTGGGGGCCTAGTGGACTTCCTATCTCTATCCTAGTGACAGTTTGCTTTTGCCTCATTAATGCAAGAGGTGGGGTACATTTTCTGTTCCTTCTCTGGTAGCACTAGAATTTGTCTAGGAACAGGGACAGTAAAAGTTTTCTTCCCTTCCCCAGCCACATACAGCTTTTCCTGTCAAACAAGGGTAGGCTCTGGGATCTGAAAGCTTTCCTGCCTTGTCATGGGACATACTTTTTGTGGTGAGTCAAAGAAGAGTCTGTAGTGTAGGTAAATCATGTCCCTGCCTTCTGTAGCATCTGATCCTGCTAGACCTCACAGGACTGCAGTTGGGATAGATGGCTCCAGTGGAAGAGCTGGAAAGTCAGTGTACCTGGTGCTCCAAAGGCATTCTGCATGAGGCTTGAGAGGATGGGGGCTGCTGGTACATTGAGATATAAACCAATTCAGCATTAGCATTAGCTAGCGTATACCTGACTATTCAGGTAAAATTTCACCTAAAATGTTTTTACAAAGAGTTTTTCCCTTCAATGAAAATTATCAGTTTGGGGGTTTTAAAGGTTCAAACTTAATTTATTTCATGAGCTCAATGTCTTGGGTCCTGATTTTTGGGGGAGGGGCAAATAAAGGGTTTAATATAAACATTGTATATGATTTTTTAAAGGATGTACTGAGCATATGCTACACATCAGTTCCTTAGATTCCGAGAGATGCAGTAGCCTAAGAAACTATAGATATCACAGGTGCAGAGATCAGAAATAACCACATTCATACAGATAATCTTTCTCATAGCTACTTTTATTCAACTTTACAGAGAGGTGAGGAAACATTTACAAGGCTCCAAAGGCTGTCTTATTCATGCACTGCTGTGCTGTGTAACACTATTTCCCTGCAACAATAAACTTTAACTTTTCAACTTTTCTCAAGTGCAGTGGCTTGTAGAATTATAGAGTTCATGTGATAACTAATTTGGAACATATTTTTCTTGGGTCCAAATATTCTATTTTGAAGAATTTTTATGTATTGCGATATTGTGCACATTGGTGAAAGAGTCAATCTAGGTAGATTTGATTCTGGCTAACTGTAGTTAATCGTATATACTTTAAATATTTTGGTTTGCAAGTGGTTTCCTATCTCTAAATTATACCGAGCATATATTGTTCAAAGAATGAATTTGGTGCGCTTCTAACCTCAGTTTTGTCAAGGCCCATCCAACAGCTAAATAAACTTGGACCAGGTCAGAGTTAACAGATTTTATAGCCAAGAAAAGATTGTTTTTAAATATCTTGTATGTATGATTGTATGTGTGAACAGCCATTTTATTTCTTTGAGATAGTTTTTTCTCTAGCTCACATTATATTATTTTACTTCTTTCAAGTCATAAAATTAGAACTTGGGACTCAGACTGTATCTCTGTGGTAGTATGTGTGCTTAGCATACTTGAGGTCCTAGGTTCAATCCTTAGCAACAAAAAATATATATATTTGTCTCATTTTAAAGTGAAGGGGCATAATGTTTCAAAATGAAAGACTAAGGAAGCAGAAGCAAGTGTGGTATCTGTACTCCGGAGGCTTAGTCTGGAGAATTGTAAGTTCAAGACCAGCCTGGGCAACTTAGTAAGACCTTGTGTCAGTAGGAGAGTGTTTTCCTAGCATGTGCAAGGTCCTGGGTGCATTCCCCAGTGTCTGCCTGCATATGTGTGTGTGTGTGTGTGTGTGTGTGTGTGTGTGTTTCTCCTTCCTGCCCTCCCTCCCTCCACATACATACGTACATACAAGGAATAAAACAGAAACCCCATTCTAAATAGTAACAATTTTCAAAGTTGAGCAGGTGGTTCTGAAACAGTGTTTCTCAAAGAGTGTGGGGTCCCTCAGAATGTCCTAAAAGAGCTCTCCTCCTCTACATTCCCATCCTCATGACTCAAATAATCAAGAGAAAATAAGGTTAGAAAAAATAAAATGAAACAAGTAGTGTAGAGGGAAATTTGATTAGTTAGGCAGTTTATAGTATCTCAAAAAATAAAATAAATGAGTAGTTGATTTTTTTCAGTCCTGGAATCTTAAAGAAATTTATCCTCTAGGGGTTCTTATCAAGAATCAAGCTATTGATCCCTGGTACCAAAAACAAACAAAAAAGAAGCTGTAAGCAGTATCTTCACTGTCTTTACATTATTTGCAACAGTGAGGTGTTTGTTTGTTTGTTTGTTTTGGTACTGGGCTCAAACTTGGGACCTTGTGCTTGTGAGGCAGGCAGTAGAACCACTGAGCTAAATCCCCAGCCTTAACGATGAGTTTTATAGATATATTTTTAACATCTCAGCAGTATCATAACAACAAAGGTCATTTCAATGAAAACTATCCTTTATGAAAATCTAAATATTGCTGCCCAAGTACTCAGATGTAGTGTAGTATAATATTTAGAATAAGGAATACATTTTCAAGTCTTTGGAAATATTTAGGTAGTATTCCCTAAATATTAGCAGGCTCAGCCCCCCGCCACA